GTATATGCATGCAGTGGCCTTAAAAAGGAATAAACTTCTTACACATAATACAGCATGGACAGATCATGAGGTCACTATGTTAAATGAAAAGCCAGACACCCAAAGACAAACATTGTGTGGTTCCGTTATATATAGATAGCAAGAGTAACCACACTCCTAGAGATAGAATGCAGAATAATGGCTGCTAGGGGCTGGCAGGGTTGGGGGAGAATGTAGAGTTACTGTTCAGTGGACACAGTTTCAGTTTGGGATAATGAAGTCTGTTGTGGGTGTATGAATGCACTTAATGTCACTGAACTGTGCACTAAAAAGATCCTTAAGAAGGTGAGTTTTCTGTGTAATTTAGCACAATAAAAGAGGAATAGATCTTTAATGTTGAAAAGTGTTCATTCCACTACATATCACAAATTAGCTTGTTAGAATTCAAAACTGGGAAAATTTCGTTGTGTTTAATATGTCTGTGATACATTTAGGGAATGCCAAGTATTTCTGTTGTTCATAGATAGTTTTCCTGTGAAAGGAGGGACAAATTGATAATGTAAGTAGTTTGAAGGACGTGGAGGTAACGAGTCTATGATGGAAACTGGACTGTATCTTAGTATCACTTCTTCAAGGCTCATATTGAGGAGGTTTGTAATACCTTTCCAGATGTTTTTACCAGCTGTCGTGGAGATGGAAATTGCACTGGATGGTTGTTTAGCTCAAGGCAGAAGTCTCACATTTACATTGTCAGGGCTGTGTGATTTAATATGTATTTTGAGAGGTTTGGTGATGAGCTCTTTCTAGAAGCCAGACATTCTATACACAGTGATGGCTTCAGCCAGGAAGGCCTGCACCTGGTCTTTACAGTCTGTGGGAGTGAGGAGTGCCTGTGTCATATGCCTGCTAGGCTGATAGCTCGCCTAACTTTCCAAGTATTTTGTACATCCTTTAATACACTAATATAGTGTGTTTTATTTTTTATAATAGTGTGCTTACTTGTCAGACTGTTTTGACTATAGAAATCATTTTGTGGGGTAACTTGTGGGATTATGGTCTCTTGTTAGGGTCACAGGGAAATGCTAGAATAATGTTTCGCAGACTGCAGGACCCATGTTTGTGGTGAAGACCACAAATGGAGTTTTCCTCCCAGTCCTGCCCTAGGCAAATCCCTTTGAGGAGGGATGCAGTTTCTGGAGTCCAGTTAGTGACACAGGGCTGCTCTGGGAGGATGTCCCCTGCCTCTGCTTGAGCTCCCCTGTGATTCTCCCTTTTGCCAAGGTAAGGTGTTGGTTGGAGGCAAGAGCTTTATTTCAGAATGTAAAATTGTGAAATAACTTAAGCATAAGGGAGAGTTTGAAACAATTATAGTACTTTGTGTAATTATACCAAGATTATAGATACTAACTTTTGTCACATCTGTCCTTCCCGCCCTTCCTTCTCAGTACTGGGAATTGAAAGCAAGGCATCATATATGCTTAGGCAAATGCTCTGCCACCAACTTGTATCCCCATCCCCACATCTCTTTTTTTGGTAAAGGAACAAAATGCAAGACTAGAGTCCTGCTGTATCTGCCTCCTCCCTTTTCCCAGAGTTTTCTATTTCTTCTTTGTTGCATGTTTTTGTACCTTCATTTATGTGAAATACACTGCTATTTTGTGTATTTAAAATGTGTACAAAACTTCAATTGTATGGTTATTTTAAATTATTTTTTCCTATTTACCTTCAGTGCTAGAGTTAGTGTGTCTTCTTTCTGGTAATTGCAAACAAGATTGCATTGAATATCCTTCCTAGGACACATGTGAGCATCTCATGGGTACATAAGATAGGTCGTGAGGCCAGTGCGTCTTTTAACTAGTGGGGAATTGCTTGGTAAAACTTCTTTTGAAAGAAAAAGGGGGAGAAGAGATACTTGGATGTTTTCATTAATTTTGGAGTAAGAGCAAAAATTTAAGGGTATGGCAGAATGAAAAATGGGGTCCAGAATTCTGCACACTTAGCATAATATAGAGATGTGAAAGTTAATATCTGTGTCCTTTTTGGGAATACCTTCCTAAAGTAAATACTTGAAGCAAGTAGACAGTTTTTAGCTATACTTTTCCTTCCCGATAATATTTGGAAGCATTCACACTTAAAAAAATATTGCTATAATTTTTCTGTTATTTTGTGTGCTCATTCATGTACTGCTTAAAGGTCCCTTTATAAATGAAGGAGATAAATTTTTGTTTATAAATAACAAAAATTTTGATCCCAGGCATTCGCTGGAGATTGTCAGTTAGGTTAGCTTAGTGATATTATTCTCTTAATTTAAATGACTTAAAAGCACAGAGTATTTGCTGGGCAATAATAACTTACTAGGGTTAGTAGGCAATGTCCAGGGCACCATGCTGTTGTTTAAAGTGCAGTATTTCCTGCTCTTGGATGATGTGGACCAATGTATATCAGATTTGGGTGGTATAGGTGATTTGTGTTTTGTGAACATTGATCAGCTTAAATTTTATATAATGATAGCTGCTTTAGTAATTCATTGAACAGCATGCACTCATTCAGCCTCTATTTCTTGACTGTCAGGTCCTCTTCCAGGAGGCCTGGCTTGAAGGTTAGGTGCTTTTATTCCCGTGATGCGGACGGGAAATGCATGAACACAGTAGCTAAATCAAATCATGTCCCTGTGGTAAAATCAAATCGAGAAGGGCATGAGAAGGACAGTAGCGTTTGCCTGGTCTAAGAAGAGGTGACATCTGAGTTGTAAGTGCCTTGTGTCTCCAGCACTCAGCACCTGGCTCCTGATACTCCTAACTCTTGGTAAATTTCACTTGCATGCAGCAGTTTGGTAATCATTGTTGTCCCAAATGTGGTTTTGAACAAAGCGATAACCTTAATTTCTCAGTAGCCAAGTGAGGTTTCACGGTGCGGGAAACAAAGCACTCCCGCGGTTCCTTGTGGACTCACCCTCTGGCTCTGTGACTGATAGTGTGCTGGGCTTCTTAGGCCTTGGCATCACGGAAGTGTAGAAGTATACCAAGGCCAGTCAAGGGCTGAGGTCAGTGAGGAGCAGGAGCTAAGAGCTTTGGTGTCCCGTGAGAAGATGGCAGAGCTCAGGTAAGCAGACGATGGGCCTTGGAGCATCCATGTTTTATAGTAGTGATTGTTTGGTTCAAGAAGTATGAACAGCACATAGTAGATCTTTGAAAAGCCTTGCATCGAAATTAGTTAAAGCAAAACCAGTAACGATCCATAAAGAATTAGACCTTAGGTGAGACATGGTAAGAGGCACACCTATAATCTCAGCTACTGAGAAGGTATAAGCAGGAGGATTGAGAGTTCATTGCTAATCCAGACAAAGTTAATGAGATCTTATTTCAAAATCAAAATATAAAAGAACCTAAAAGGGCTGGGGCATGGCTAAAGTAGTAGAACATTTGCCTAGCATGCATGAGGGCCTAGGTTCAATCCCTAATACTACCTCCCCCCAAAAAACCCAAAAAAGATCTGAAGCAGGGAGTATTTATTATATAAGTATTTAAAAATAACAGGAAATAGTAATATTTTAGAGATAGCACTGTGGTTTAATAAGTAATAGTAACATTTCTGTAAACTTTGATGTAGATTCTATATTATTAAATTTCTGACTACAGTATTCATATGAATTAATAAATTACCTAATTTTACAGTTGGAAATGTATGACAAATAAGGTAGGTAATTGACTGTATTTGCACAACTAAAGTACAATATGAATTGATTTAGAATTTATGCATTTCTAACCCAGAGACCCTTTAGCTAAAGTAGAGTTTAGTAATCTGAGTGATTGGCACCTGGCCCAGTTCTACTGGAGCGCTCAGTTGTAACACGTTTTAAGTTTCCTCATCCTGTGCTTGCAGTGGGTCAGGTGCCAGTAAGGTTGGTCCCATTCGAATTAGGCCATGTATCTAAGAGGATAGCAGATCTATTTTTTAATTGTAGGAGTTACAAGGGCCCCCAAGCAGAGGTCCTCTTATATGTAGTTTGCCCCATTCTGCCAGTTTGTACAGTGACTCCGTCGAGGATTAGCTTATGCTTCCACCTTAACCTCCTGACTCCCTGACCTCCCCAAAGTTTTGCCCAGTTGCTAGATAGAAAGGAGTCTGGTGAGTTTCTGGCTGCTGTGGTTTCAGTAGTTCCTATAGTATGTCTTCTTTGCTTGCTTAGAAGACAGAACCCTGCTCCCCAATCCCCATGTTAGAGTCTCTGTACTCTAGAAAGTCAACATATTAAAGCACGACTCCTGGGGGAGTTGCTGGCTGTGTTGACTGAGCTTTACAGTCATTTTAACACTGGAGAAGTGTTATCCCACTGCTTCAAATCGCACTGCAAAGATGCTTGTGTGAAATATAGTATTAGATATCAAATCAAACATACGGGTGTTGAACGGGAGGCTGTGTGTTGTGGCAGTGTGTGGCAGTCTAGCATGTGGAGTTGTATTTTATGGAAATTCTTTGGCTTGGCTTGTGGCAGGAACGTACATTCATTATGAGATCCCAAACTGTAAAATAAATAAAAGCAAAGATTTCAGCTGTGCTGTTAAACGACTTTCAGTGCAAACCCGTCTGCTCTAACAGCCCAGGCGCTGTGTGCTGAGAAGCACTGTGAGTGTTATGGTCATACATTGGTGCCCATTGCTGGTAGGTTTTGAAGATAGTATAGACTGGGTTGAAAAAGAAATAGGAACTTTAGCTATGCATTCTTTTCCTTTTTTTCCCTGTTGTATTTGCTATGAATTACTGTACTAATTTGAGAAGTAACATTTTTATTTTCCTCCTTTATTATTCTTTTTCCTCCTTTTGTGTTTCTACAGAGAATTTGCCTTTTAATGTATTTCGGGTCTCCTTGATTTCTGAAGTGTGTGGGATTATGGGACTCAAGTTCTTGGAGTTCACACATGGACCCTATTGTGTGTTAACAGAATGACCTCATCATTCTCAGTTCTGGAGTGCTCTTTGCTGTCCTGATGTTTTTTCTTTCTTGCTTCTTCTTCATTTAGGATGAAAAAGTCAATAGACTACTCATTAACAACAACAGGAACAAACTCATTTAAAGGAAATCAGAAAATACTATCAATGGTTTATTTATTGCAAGAGGAAGGAGATTTCTGATTAATGAGTTCAAGGATTTTTAGGCTCATGTAAGTTAGAGATGAAGAAGGTTGACTTAGGCCATTTTGGTCTATATCTCTGATAGTTACAGTGCCGTACACTTGCTTTATGTTACCTGTTTTACCAACTAAGAAAATACTATCCTTTATTAGATATGAGATCTTTCCTTCAAGAATTCATTGCTGGGTGCAGTGGCTCATACCTATAATCCTAGCTACTTGGGAGGGGAAGATCAGGAGGATCATGGTTTGAGACCAGCCCTGACAAAAAGTTGGCAGGACCCCATCTCAACAAACAAGCTGATTGCGGTGGCACATAACTCTGTAATCTCAGAGGCATAGTAGGGGGAGCACAGTCAGAGGCTGCCCCAGGCAAAAGTAAGACCCTACCCGAAAAATAAAAACTCAAGTAAAAAAGGCTATGGAAATAGCTCAAGTGGTAAAGCGTAGGCCCTGGGTTCAAACTCCAGTATTAGAAACAAACAAAAAACTTACATTGATAAGCATAGTGTTGTTTTCTATGTATCTGTTTTAGTAGCTTTCCATCACTGTAACAAATACTTGAAACAATCAGCTGACAAAGTTTATTTTGGCTCATGGTTTGAATGTCTCAGTCCATGATTTGTTAGCCATGAACTGGGGCCTGTGGTGAGACAGCATGTCATGGTGGGTGCAAAACTGCTCACCTCCTGGACAGGGAACAAAAAAGAGAGTGAGAAGGGGACTGGGTCCTGCAGTTCCCTTCAGGGACATGCCCCTGGTGACCTCAAGGCTTGCCACTAGGCCCCACCTCTCGTACAGGTGCCTTTGAGTGGTGTTTAAAATCCAAGCTCTACAAGTATTGTTTTCAGAGGATTTCATTTGATGGGAAAAGAATTGTTTTTAAAAGCAAAAATAGTAAATGGAACTGCTAATGTAACTGGTCCATGTATGTCAGAAATGTTAGTTGGGATATTCTAACCTTAGTCTTAACTTAAAAATAGATGTACCACAGCCATGGGCATCCTACAAAGTATTAATGAGTCAACTTGGACTGTTGGAGTTCATTTTAATTTTTACTATTGCAAGGGAATGAGTTTAACATAATGCTTCTTTGATTTTCTTAGCAAGACGTTTTTAAATGTCAGCATTATTAGCTTTTTTTTCACTAGATTTTTATGGCTTATCAATACTTGATATCTTATACAGCAAAGTTAATCTTTTGCCTTCATTGATAGTAGGCATTGTTGATTTACCTAATGAAGCTAGGATTAAAAATACAGAGTTGCTTAGCAAGAAATCCATTTCATGTTGCTGGCTTGAAACCATATTCGCTTTCATTTAAGTGCACATTTTGATCTCATTTACTTTGCTTGACTTTTTGACAGATGCCACCTCAGTACGGACAGCAGGGTGTGAGTGGTTACTGCCACCAAGGCCAACAGCCATATTACAACCAGCAGCCGCAGCCCCCACACCTTCCACCCCAGGCACAGTACCTGCCATCCCAGTCCCAGCAGAGGTACCAGCCACAGCAGGTAAGAATAGCCCACTACTCTGCAGACCTTGTTTTCTCCTCCAGGTCTGTGTTCAGAGGCAGATGATGCTCCCTACATCTTTCTGTCCCCTTTGAATGATCATGTTCTCAGTGGAAAACAAATAGATACAAAACTATACCCTAATCTAACCCTTCCTCCCTCTTTCCCTTCCTTGCTCCCTCCCTCCATTGTTTTTTGCGTGCTTTAGATCGAAAGGGTAGGAAGAATGACTAGTTTAATAGCTGCCTGCATTACTGGCTAGTGATAGCAGAAAGTGTCACTCATTTCGTCATCTTTGTCATTTGTATCTTAATCTTTCATGAAAACCCTCTGCCACTTTGTTAAGGCTTATTCAGAAGAATGCTTTTACCCATCATTTAATCCTTCTAGTTGGCACATACATGATATTTTTTATCTTGACCTTTTGTTTTGTTTTAATGGTGAGTGACATTGCATGAAAACATTGCTGCCTTTTGACAGTGTTACTTTCTTTAAATTATAAACAGACAATTGCTTCAATTATAATATACTAAAATAAAAATGGGAATTGTCTGGTGTAGGTATATTGAGCAACTTCTCTGTTTTTGTTTTTTTCTTCTTTTTTCATCTGAGACAGGGTCTTGCTATGTATCCTAGACTGGTCTTGAACTCTTAATCTTCCTGCCTCATCCTCCAGAGTCCTGGGATTACAGACATATACTATCACGCCCAGCTAGTTTCTAGTTTAAATTGGCCTCATTAAATACTCTTTTATGTTATTGGGCTGTATTTTTCAGCTTATATGAGTAAGAAAAGTAGTACATAGTATATATGTATATATTTGACAAAATGAGTTGGTTTCATTTTGTTTTAGCCACTGTCATTGAGTGAAGAGTAGTGAGTGAGGGATAAGCACTTCCAATCACGAGCATCAAGAGGCAACTTTCCATGTTGATCTTTTCCTCCATTCTTTCTCTTTTGTTGGGATGGGAGTAGTGAAGAGAAGAGGAATACAGGTAATGTGGACTTTATCGTTTTTTGAGGGCTTCTTACATGGTTTAAACAGATTATTGACCCAAAGCCAAATATATAAATAGTTGAGGGCTAAAGATATTACTGAAGTGGTAGTATGTTTGCCTACCATGCGAGTTCAAACCCCACTACTACAAACAAGCAAAACAAAAAGCCAAACAAATATATTGAGATTAATTTTAATCAATTTAGTGAATTTCCTAAGTATTTTCTTGGGTTTGTTGGAGTCTGTTCCCATGTGACTTTGGTTACAGAGTTCTAAAGAGAATTTGACATTAAACGTTAAAACTACAGTAGAAATTCAGGATTGTGTACAGTGTTGCATGTATGTTTTCAAAATTTTGTTACTGTATCTAGAAGTAGGTATGTACATTATTTCAGAGTTATCTTGTCTAGCTTTTAATAAAGGTATGAACATCTTAATGTAATTCAGTCAGTTCTTTTTAGTGAGAGAGACTGGTACTTACTCAGGTTTTGATAGATAATGTTGTAGGCTTTTTCAAGGGGCTTTCAGAGTCTGTTGAACTTCTGTGGCTATAGAATGTTTTGCCTTGTTATCAGAATTTAAGAACTCATTGAGAATCAGGCATTGGTGGCTCACACCTGTAATCCTTGCTACTCAGGAGGTAGAGATCAGGAGGATCACATTTCAAAGCCAGCCCAGGGAAAACAGTTTGTGAGACCCTATGTCAAAAAATCCACCCCCAAAAAGGGCTGGCGGAGTGGCTCAAGTGGTAAGAGTGCCTGCCTAGCAACATGAGGCCCTGAGTTCAAGCCCCAGTGCCGCCCAAAAAACAAACAAAAAACCCAAAAACTCATTGAAGGATTGCAGTACTCATTTGAGTCAACTGTGCTAAAATGAATCTCTGATTGTAAAACCAGTTTGATTTGTCATTTCCTTCAAAACCAAGCTCAAAATATACTTCCTTTATGAAAAACAGTCACTGATGACTTCAAGTGGATGGCAATTAGTTATTTAATATATTCTGCTTTTAAATATTGAAAGCATACGATAAGTCAAATCTTATTTTAATGTAGTTGGTTTAGGGCTAGCTTATGCTTTGATACTGCTATTATTTTACTGACTTGAATGCAGTCAATTACATAAATACAATCATGCTTTACATATTCTGAGTAAAACCAAACATTCCTCAAGGTGCATTGGAAGTTTTTTCCTGTGCTCAAACTCATGAGCTGTGGAATATCTGAGTATTTTAAAAGTTTCATTAAATTCATTGTGGGAGTACAGGTTGAAGTTGGAGATATTTAAGATGCTCAGTCAAATGCTTGTATTTGATAGGAACTGTCCTGGTATTTTGGGAGTTCGAAGGCCAGGTAGATCTGGAAGGTTTTTCTAACAAATGAGATCTGCTATTGTATAGTTAGCACGTTTGAAACCAAAACAGTAGTCCAAAAGGAAAGTAAAGGTTACTAATAGAATGTTATTAAAATCAGGCTGGTTTTTTTTTTGGGGTGTGGGGGTATTGGGCTTTGAACTTAGGGCCTTGTGTTTGCTAGACAAGTGCTCTAACACTTGAACTATGTTCAAGCCTTTTCTTTTCATTAGTTATTTCTCAGATAGGGTCTTGCGTTTTTGCCCTAGGTCAGCTTGGGACTGTAATTTTCCACTCATGCCTCTTGTGTAGCTGGGTTCACTGGTATGTGCTACCATGCCTGGCTTATTTGTTGAGATGAAGTCTTGCTAACTTTTTGCCCTGGCTGGCCTCAAACCACTATTCTCCTGATCTCCAGCTGCCAAGTAGCTGGGATTACAGCTGTACGTGTACCATCTTGCCTGGCCCTAAAAGCAGGCCAAATTTTAATAAGAATTTCTAATATTGTACTCATGTACATTTAAAAATGTAAAAGCTCAACTGTGTTTAATCTGCTAGCATTTTATAAAAATGAGAACATTCTTTCCCATAGACTTTCTTTTTGTCTCCAAGCATGGTGTGTATGACTTATTGATTATATAGAAGGCAGTCAGCAAAAATTTTTTTTTGTCTTTTGTTATTGTTATTGATGCAAAAGTTAATTTTAGGATTTTAGGGTTCTATTAAGATATCTTACTTTGTGTCTTTAGCATTTTTAATATGCTTAATGTTTTAACTAATCAATATATCATATGTTTCAAAAATTAAAAAGTACAAGGAAGCCAGGTTTGGTTCTTGCCTACAATCCCAGCACTCAAGAGGATTGTGAATTTGAGGCTTGCCTGGGCCACATAGCAAAATCCTGTCTCAAAAAACTACAAAAATACAAGGAAAGTCTACAGACAACTGCTCTTTGCCATCTTAGTCCCCTACCCACTTCCCCACCCACCCCATCCTCTGCCATAAAACCATTTAGTTAAATATATGTTTTTCTAGAGATTATACAATACTGTATTTTAATTTTTACTATTATTTTTATATTAATTATGACATCTGAAAGACAGTATGTGCACTTTTTTTTGCTGTTATTGTTGCCTTTCCCATCTCATTTAAACAGATTTTCTGCAGATGTTTTCAAAGGAGAATATGGAGCAATCCCTTTTTCTTTTCTTTCTTTCTTTCTTTTTTTTTTTTTAATAGCACTACTGAATTTTATACACATACCATAGTGTTTTAAACAAGTCTCTTTAGATTATTTTGACTTGTTTAATGTCTTTGTAACACATGTACATGTCACTTCATAAATGGACAATAGTCATCGGTAGGATGGATTCCTAGAAGCAGCACTGCTGGATCAAATGTATGTACATTTTCCCTTCTAGTAAATTACACACATTGCTCCCCACAGAGGGCACACCAGTTACACCCTAGCCTCCGTGTGTCAGAGGACTGTTCCCCTGCACATGGGCAATTCCATGGATTTATGAAAGCTGGATTTTTGACAACATGGTGGTACAGCTTTAGCTTACTATTATCTTTTATAATAATGTTTAGTGTTTTCTTATACATTTAAAAGCATTTTTGTTTTCTTTTTTGTGGACTGCAAATTCATCTTTTTATTTATTTATTTTTTTTCTTCAATTTAGTTGTTGACCTTTAAAAATTGATTTATGAAAACTCTATGCATCAGGGAGAGTGGATATTTGTCCACCCTAGCTTGTCATTTGACTTTGATAGTAGTTATGCTAGGTTTTCTGTAATGCTAAAGGAAGGGTTCTTTCTTAGTTTCTGTGCAGTCAAAGTATCAATCTTTTCATGTATGCTATCTGGATTTTATTTTTATTAGGGGTTCAAAATACCTTCCATGTTCCAAGGTTACAAAGAAGCTCTGTGATGTTTAGTAGTATTTTCATACATTGTTTTTTTCACTTCACTTTTTGTAAGTTATTGAGAAATAGGTATGGCTAACTTATTTGGTTAATTGGCCCCTTTTCTTTTGTAGGCTATTGAATTAGTCAGGTTCTCTAGAGAAACAGAAGCTGTGTGTGTGTGTGTGTATGTGTGTGTGTGTGTGTGTGTGTGTGTGTGTATTTATTATAAGGAATTTTATCACACATGAATGGAAACTGGCAAGTCTAATATCTGTATTGTGGGCTACAGACCCAGGAGGCTGCAGGTTCAGGTTGCATTTAAACACAGTCTTCTGGAGTTTCTCTTGTTAAGAAAGAAGTCTTTTTATTTTAATCTGGCCTTCAAAGTAACTGGATGATCCCCACCCACATTATGTAGGGCAGTCTGCTTGATTGAAGTCACCAGTTTAAATTTATCCAAAAGCTCCCTCTTAGTTGACATATAAAATTAACTTTTGCCTGTCTTTCCTCCATTGATTGAAGATGTCACTTTTTTTCATTTGCTAAATTCCCTTAGGTGTGGGATTTGGGGTTCCTGTGGAATTTCTGTATTTTCCATTGGTCTTTCAGTATTGTCTTTGCTGTTGTTTAGTATCCAGTAAGGTTAGCATATCCTCATTATTCTGTTTCAGATTTTTCTTAGCTACTTGTTTGTGCCTGCTAATTTTTTTTCATTTAAACTTTTCATTTCTTATGCTTTTTCCTAAAAATTGGATCTTTTTGTTATTTTTATTGGGTCTTTCATTATACTTTTTTTTTTCTTTAAAAGAGATAGTTCTCAGAACAGCTTTTGTTTGGTTGAAGTCCATTTACCCGAGGCCATGCAGTATATAGTGGATTTCTTTAGCTTCTGTGGCTGCAGGCCAGGGAGGTGCTTCAGGAGCATCATCAGGGATGGGCTTGGCTGGGCATTCGATAGTGTTGGGTTGTGTGGAATGATTCTTAAAGAGGAATTAGAGAGAAGGGTTAGTCCTCAGCTGGCTGCTTTCAGAAGCTTAGGGGCATTTGGGGGTTAGGTATTTTCATTTTTATCAGGAGGCAAGAGGAAGAAAGTGGGGCAAGGTGGTTATGCATAAAGAAGACTATTAGAAGAGGGGCTACTTAGTTATTCTTGTTGCCCCAAAGCACCCTGTCCTCCCCTTGTTTCAGCACTGTGTGTTCTGTAGGAGCCCTGCAGCAGGCTGCTTCTCAAACCTGCTTTTCCTCCCCCTGACTTCCCACATTCTTGCTCTACTCTCCTTCCCTCTGGAGAGCAGTGTCTGTTCCCCTCCATTTGTTTAGGTAGTTCTATATTTTAAAAATATTATTTAAAAAGAGGTATTACAATTTTTATTGATTTATTCCTTTGCATTTTCTTTTTTTGTTGCTGTTATAAATTTTGTCCTTTAAAAAATTAATTTTCTCATTGCTACTCATATACACAGATGTGACAACTTTGTGTATTAACTTTTTGACTTAAGTTCTTGATGGTACTACTAGTTCTAGCAATATGTTGATTCACTTGGGTTTTTCCATTCTTTTTTAAACCACTTAAAAAAATAAAGTACCACCATCCCACTTTTTTTGTATTTCTGCAGGCTAGCTTCAACAAATGTATTGTTTGAGAGGAATAGCTAGCTGGCCATTGCTATATTAGCCCTGATAAAAATGAAAGTGTAAAGCTTTTCATTGTTAAATACAATGTTTACTTTCTCTTTTCTTTTTCTCCCCCCCCTTTTGTAGCTGCCTACTCTTGGGCTAAGAAGGCCCCTTCTTTTGTAGCTTAGTAGATTTTTTCCAGGATGGTGGTGAACTTTATGTCCTATTGAGAGGACCACTTTGTTGTTTTTGTTTTTTTGCTCATAATTTTACATTGGTGCCCGGCTTCTTTTATTTTTGGTAAGAGCTTTTCCAAAGCAACTTCGTTCTTTATCTTCGCCATTATATATTCTTTCTTTAAATTTATTCAGCTGGTTGCCAGCAGCTCATGCCTATAATCTAGCTACTTGGGGAGGATGAGATAGGGAGGATTGTGGTTCCAGACCAGTTCAGGCAAAAGTTTGCAAGACTCCATCTCAACAGAAAAAGGCTGGGCGTGGTGTCTGTCCTCCCAGTTATGGTGGAAGTGTACAGTTAGAAGGGCTAGGCAAAAGGTGAGACCCTGTCTCCAAAACAACCAGAGCAAAAAGGGCTAGAGTCGCGGCTCAATAGCAAGCTCCAAGCTGCCTAACAAGCTTGGAGCCCTGAGTTCAAACCTCATACTGCCCACACTTTTTTTTTTTTTTTAATTATGTTCTGCTCTTGCTTTCTACTTCTCTTATGTTTATTTTGCTTTTTTACTTTTTTCCATTTAAATGAATACTTAGCATACTTGAAC